TCCTGGGGGAGATTTGGGGCCTTGGATTGGGGCATCAAAGGCGGCCAGTGTGGTGGAGAGAGGCTGGAGCTGCACGAGCAACTATGTCCGGCGTCCTAGTCCAGGCTGAATGCTGGACGCATTCCGAGTGTACTGAGAAGCCATTGAAAAGGTTTTAAGCTGGAGAGTCACATGATCCGATTAGTGTTTTAGAGAAATTCCTGTGGGACCCGCGAGGAGGCCCGGCCGGATGCAGGGGCGACCGAGCCGGGGAGCAGGAAGGAGGCGGTGCCCGGGTCCAGGTGAGAGATGGGGTGCCTGGGCGGGGCCGGCCTCGGGCAGGGGGCGGGACCTGGCGCTGATTGGCTCAGGGCTGCCCTCCTGGATGCCATTCCCACCGCCTCCACCTCCTCATTGGCTTCCCTGCTTCGGCCCCCCGCCTCCCTCGCGTGCAGTCTCCGGCACCTAGAAATCACATCACTTCGCTCCTGCGCTGAACACCGTCCCGTGGCTCTCACCTCTTCCTCCCCACCTTCCTCCTCTGCACCCCACGCCCTAACGTCTGAACCCTGGAAGCTCCCTTCACGGATTCCTGTCTTTCTCCCTCTGCTTCACTCTGCTCCATCCACACTGCCCTCTCTGCTCTTTCGGACTCAGGGCCTTTGCACGTGCAGTTCACTGCCTGGAATGTCCTTCTAGCTTTCCATAATTTTTCCCGTTCTTCCCTCATTTCTTACAGATCTCCCCAGAGACACCTGTCCCGTTCACGTTACCCAAAACAACCCTCCTGGGAATTCCCTGGCGGTCCAGTGGTTAGGACTCCGCGCTTCCACTGCGGGGGCCATGGCTTCCATCCCTGGTGGCGGAACTAAGATCCCACAAACTGCGCAGTGCGGCCAATAAATAAATAAAAAAATAAAAAATAGCCTTCCTGACACCCTCTAGTCCTTGCTCTGCCCTAATTTTCAACTTTGTACTTACTGCAAACATCAGGCTGCTTCTCCTGTTTTGCCTGTTTCCCCTTCCACTGGAATATAAATTCCCAGGGAGTTTATATGCCAGGCTTCGCCTGTGTAACTGCTCTACCCTCAGCAAGCCTCTCATATCAAGCAGTATTTGTGGGTGAATAAAGAGGGACGAAGGGTGAGGAGGAGTGAGGTGAACTCGGGCCTCAGGTTTTGGAGTGGGGGGCGCCCTGGAAGGGGAGAAGACTGACGTGGTGGGGAGATGCGAAGCACATCACATCAGATGTGAGCGGGTGGTGCGGGTGGCTGGCTCCACCTGTCCGCATGTGAGAGTCAGCTCTGCCCACAGAGGCGCCGGGGTCGCCAGCGTCTGGCTGGTGACTGATGCTCTGGACCGGTTGAGATCACCCCCAGGGTAAAATCCTCCCCCTCTGCCTTCCAGCCTCAGTTAGCACATTGATAAGATGCGGCCACGGTGTCACGAGTTGGGGACGAGGTCCAGCCCACCACCTGGCACTGAGACACTCGAGAAAGGGGACGAGTCCCTATTGCTACCCTCTCAGAAGAGAAAGGATTGGAGTGGAGGTGAGGTAGGCGGGAGGTCCCTATTCATCACCCCACTGCCTGGCGGCCATCTCCATGACAACCCTGGCACTTTTCCAGGCCCTCAGCTCTGGAGGCCCGAGCCAGTCTCCAAGTGGGCAGGTCTTGCCCCTGGGGGCGGCACCTATATCTAAGGAGGCGGGTCTTGTTTTTCCAACGCGAAGGATTTTTTCCCGCCCAAAGGGGTGAGTCTGATCCCCCTTCCTGTGTGGTGGTGGCAGAGTGGAGAGGAATGTCTCCAAGGTTGAGCGTTCCCAGGGGCCGACCTGGAGCCTTTTCAAATGGGCCACTGTGGATCTCCAGGCAAAAATGTCTTCCTTGAATGCCAAACTCTTACTTGTTTGCCTCCAAACTTATCTCCCTCCTTTAAATGTTTTTCCTTGTGAAATATAAGACGTATGGATGAAAGGGGCACGACAAAAGCGCACAATTTAACAAATAATTATAAAATAATCACCAGATTAAGAAACGGGATGTTGGCAGCCACCCCACAGCCCATAGAAGGTTCCACCATGTCCCATCCCGAATTTAACCCATCCAACTCCACTGTTCTGAGTTTTATGAAAAAAAAAAAAAAAAGTTTTCCTTGCTCTTCTAGATGGCTCACATCCACAAGGCATCCTAAACAATATTACAGTTTAGTTTTGCTTGCTTAAATGTTATAGAAATGGAATGGTACTCTATGTACCTGGTTTCTTGCGTCCAGCTTCTTTGTAACTTTCATCCATGTAATTTTGTGCATCTGTACTCATTCGTTCTCTTGCTGTATAGTATTCTATGGCATAATATACCATCATTTATTTATCCACTGTATTGTTGATGAATGTCTTAATCTGTTGGGGCTGCTATAACAAAATACCACAGACCACGTGGCTTATAAGCAATAGAAATTTATTGCTCACACTTCTGGAAGCTGGGAAGTCCAAGATCAAGGTGCCAGCACCGTCACCTTCTGGTGAGGGGCCTCTTCCTTGTTCGCAGGCCTTCCTTCTTGCTGTGCCCTTACCTGGTGGAAGGGGCTAGGGGGTCTCTCTGATGCCTCTTCTATAAAGGCACTAATCCCATTCATGAGGGCTCCACTCTCTTGACTTAAGCACCTTCCAAAGGCTCCACCTCCGAGTACCATCACATTGGGCCTTAGGATTTCTTTTATTTATGTATGTATGTATGTATGTATGTATGTATGTATTTATGGGCTGCGTTGTGTCTTGGTTGCTACGCGCGGGCTTTCTCCAGTTGCGGCGAGTGGGGGCTACTCTTTGTTGCGGTGCGCAGGCTTCTCATTGCTGTGGCTTCTCTTGTTGCGGAGCATGAGCTCTAGGTGCACGGGCTTCAGTAGTTGCAGCATGCGGGCTCAGTAGTTGTGGCGCACAGGCTCTAGAGCACAGGCTCAGTAGTTGTGGCGCACGGGCTTAGTTGCTCCGCGGCATGTGGGATCTTCCCGGACTAGGGCTCGAACCCATGTCCCCTGCATTGGCAGGCGGAGTCTTAACCACTGCGCCACCAGGGAAGTCCTGGCATTAGGATTTCGACATATGAATTTGGGGTGACACAAACATTCAGCCCAAACCAATGGACATTTGAGTTGTTCTGAGTTCAGGGCTGTACATTTTGCTGCTGCGAATGTTCTTATATGAGTCTCCTGGTGCAGGTGAACATGAGTTTCTCTAGGATTCGTGCCTATCTTTGTCATATGGACACCTTCAGCCTTATTAGAGCATGCCAATCTCCCAAGCGTCTCAAATTTAAGAAGCTCAAGATGGAACTCCTGACCCCTCCAGCCTCCACCCGACTTGTTCTCTCTCCGTTGTCTGGTCTTAATACAAAGCAGCACCACGCAACCCGTTCCCAGCCCCGCCCCCATTCCTCCCTCTCCATTACGCACGCGCACACACAACACACGCTCTCACATTCCACCTCCAGAATTCATCTTGGGCTCACCTAGTTCTGTCCATCCCTCTGCTCCAGGTCCCCACACCCCTCTCCTGGTGGACTGCAGTAGCCTCTGCTGCATTCACTCTGCCCCCTCCAGTCCCTTTTCCACTCAGCAGACAGAGGGACCCTTGGAAAGTAAGAGTGGTCACATCCCTTCACACTTACGGTCTTGCTTGCCACTGCCCACAAAGCACAGTAAAATGCCCATCTTGGCCCACCAGGGTCTGTGTACCCTGACCCCTGCTTACCTCTCCACCTCACCTCACCCCTCCCTCCCCTCCTGGGCTCATCCAGGTGTCCACCTGGCCGGCCCCTCCTCAACCTTCTGGTCTCAAATCAAATGCGACCTCTGCAGAGAAGCACCCGCCCCACCTCCTCCCTGCTGGACCACCCCACCTAAGGTGGCACAGCCCAGCCACTCGTTTTCTTAGAGTTATTTTGTTCACTGTTGGATCCCCAAAGGGTGACAGCACCTGGCACTCGGTACCGGAATGTAATCTAGCGCGTAGGAGACAATCTGAGGGGCCCGCCCATCCTTAGATGGGCGGATCCTAATCTAGGGGAAGGATCTAGCGGCTGAGGTACAAACTTGGTTGCCTGGGAGACAGAGTCTAAGGGGCGGGGCCTCTTCCTAGGGGTAGGACATCTGTAAAGAGTTTGGTTTTCAGGGGGCGTGTCCTATGGGATTGAAGGTTTCTAGGGGGCATATCCGTCCGTTGGAGGTGGATTTTGTAGTTAAGATGCAGGGTTTCACTTAGATGAGATCTAAACCATCTCTGATATTAAAAGCGTCAGGCACTGTCTAAAGGACTCGAAGTTTCTCAGGTGGAAGGAAAGATCTGCCTCTATTAAGGAGGCCTGTCCTAAATCAGAGGGGGAGGAATCCCCACCTACCTAAAGCCAAGGATCAGAAAATGAGACGGCAGTGGCTGACAGGACAAGGTTTATTGGGGTCCAGGAGACACTGGGGAGTGGGATAGGGGGCAAGGTCGAGGCTCACAGGGGGAAACCCCCTAGCCAAATCCCCCTTCCCCTTGGGGTTGGGAAGAACACAGAGACAAACTGACAGAGACGGAGAGAAAGACCGACAGGTGCTACAGCAGAGCGGGAGGGATACCCCAATGTCCCCCACCTCCCACTCATGAGTTCACATAATGCGGAATGACGTGGACCTGCCCACACGCTAGAGGAAGGGGAGGAGTGTCTGCCGTATGCATTCTAAGGAGGGTGGGGCGCAGGTGGCAACCTGGACCAGCCCATTCCAGTGGACAGGGCGTGGGGGTATGTGTATCTGGATCAGTCCATCCTACTGAGCGCAGGGATTTTGAACCAGGCTATTCTACTTTTTGGGGGTGGGGGAGATCATTAGGGTCGATCCATTCCTTAGTAGGGGAGGGAGACCTAATTGGGGAAGGGGTTGAGGGCAGGGGGCAACTAACCTGGTCCTCTTTCCGCATAGGGAATAAAGTCGGGGAGAGGGGAGAGGCAGATTCCGGCTATATCCTTTATCTGGGGGCACCAGTGACTCTGGTGGGTAGCATCTGGAGGGGATCCAGGGAAATCCGGGGACATGGTTCGCCCCCCATTCTCCGGATCAAGGTCGTCGGAATGATGGCTCTTAGGGAGAGGGGCAGTCTTCCCTTGGGGCAGGGGTGCCCATCTCTTATTATTTGGGCCCTCAAGATGAGAAATACTTGTGGAGACCCATTTCTCATTCCTAGGTCCCGCAGCTTAGGCGCCTATTGATGTGGGGGTGCTCAGCACGTATTCCAGGGGCCTGGAGCTTAGGAATCTCTCCATAGATCTGGGACCCTCGAGCTGAGGAATCCCTCCGTTTATTCGCTGCCCCCCAGCTCAGGGGCCCGTGTGTTTGGTGGCTCCATGTCTCCAGCCAGGGTCCCCTCATCTCGGGGCCCGTGTCTGGGTCTGGAGGGCCGGGGCCTCCCTCGTGGTCCCTAGGTCCCTTGGCCCGGGCCCTGAGTCCAGCCCTTGGGAGGGGTGGTCTAGCGGAGGGGCGCGCGGCCTGGCCACGTCAGTCCATGCCCCGGTGCAGCTTCAGGTGCCTGGAGAGGTTGCTGAGCGTGATGAAGCCCTTGCCGCAGATGTGGCAGGGGAAGGGCCGCTCGGTGCCGTGCAGCAGCCGGTGGCGCTTGAGGTAGCACTCGTGGCGGAAGAACTTGCCGCACTCCAGGCACGGGAACGGCTTCTCGCCCGTGTGCACCAGCACGTGCCGCTCCAGGTCCCGCGGCGAGCGGAACAGCTTCTCGCACTCGGAGCAGCCGAAGATCTTCTTGCCGCGGCCCGAGCCGGACGCAGGCTCCCCTGACGCGGGCTCCCTCTCCGGGGCGGGCGCCGCCGCCTCCTCCGCAGCGCCGCCCTCGCCGTGGCTGGCGCGCCGGTGCTCCTCCAGGGCCGCCAGGGCGGCGTAGAGGGCCCCGCAGTGGCCGCAGCCGTAGGTCGCGGGGCGCGAGTGCGCCTCCAGGTGGCTGGCCAGCGCCGCCGCCGACGCGAAGAAGGTCCCGCAGTCGCACTGGTAGAGGGTGTCTTCCGACGGCTCGGCCGCGGCCGCGGGCGCGGGGGCCTCCCCGCCGCCCTCGGGGAGCAGGCCCCCCAGCTCGGGCACGCCGCCCCCGGCGCGGCCCAGGAGCAGCCTGCGGTCCCAGGCCGGCTGAGCCTCGCCCGCCTCCGCAGCGCCGCCCTCGCCGGCCGTCTCGGGCACGGCGCCAGCCCCGGAGACCCAGGCCTGCGCGGGGGGCGCGCCCGGCCCCTGCAGGTCGTGGGTCAGCTTGTGCCTCTCCAGCAGCGCGGGGGCGTTGAAGTCGCGCTCACAGCGCGGACACTTGAAGGGCTTCACGTCGGTGTGCGCAGCCCAGTGGGCTGCCAGCTCGCGGCCCTGGTCGAAGCGCCGTGCGCAAGCACCGCACGCGAACGGGGGCAGTGAGGCCGCCGCCGCGGCCGCCGCCTCCGCCAGCCCCCAGCTCCCCGGGCCCGCGCCTGCGCCCTCTGGGCCCTCTCCGCCGCCAGCCCCCGCGCCCCCGCACACCGAGCAGGGCCCCACGTTGCAGCAGACCGAGCAGGGAGCGCTCAGGGCGGGCAGGCCTGGGCCGGGCTGCAGGGGGGACGGGAGCACCCCACGGTGCTGGCGCTTGAGGTGGCGGCCCAGGCTGGAGCGCGAGGAGAAGCGGAGCTCGCAGACTAGGCAGCAGTAGGGCTTCTCGCCAGTGTGGACGACCTGGGAGGGCAGGAGGAAGAGCCCAGCGTCAGGGCTGAGGGTCTAGCCCACGGGACAGATTCTCGGCCTCCCAGAGAGATGCGGAGGAAGCTCCCTGCCAGGTCCACAGGGCCAAGATCTAGCTTCGACCCTCTCATTCTTGTTCTCTGCTTCCGGCCACGTTAGCATGCTTTTGGCCCCTCCAGCCTCAGGATCCTTGCACTTGTTCCCTTTGCCCGGAACGCTGTTCCATGGTGGATTCCTGCTCTTCCTTCAGGCCTCAGCTCAAATATCACCTTGCCCTGACCTCCCCCGCCCCCGTGTGGTAGCCCATAGCTCTCCCCTCTTTACTCCTACATATCACATGGTTGTTATTGCTGTTGTTTTAACTTCCTTCCCAACGCTTCTGCTTTCCCAGATCATCCTTGCCTGTGTATCTGCTTTCTTGCTGATTGTCTACCTGGCTATGGACTACTCGCAATGGAATGTAAGTTCTCCGAAGGCGTGGACTTTATTGATTTCACCTTGGTATCCCAGGTATTGGGAGCAGGAAAAACATTCAATAGGTAATTGCTGAGTCAAGGAATTAAGTACATACGTGGTAAATCTATCTTTAAAAATGGTAATGGAATGATGAGCACAAAGTTTCAGACGCTGGCATATGAGAAGGGGCACGGGGGAGGGCAGGTGCATAGAGGTGGGGCAAATTTACTATGAATGTTTTAGTTCCTGGGTCGGGTGGAGCCTGAAAGAGAAACAACTCATGCTTTGACTGGTCAGGGTGCTTCGATGGAGAGGGAAGGAGGGAGGGAGGGAGACAGAAATGTTCTTAGGGGCCAGCTGTCTGTTGCCCATAGTGGGTCCCCGGGGCTCCAAGGGCGAGTCCAGCCCAGGGAGGCCAGCTTGGGGCCGGCCTGCAGGACTCACCTGGTGGTGCAGCAGGCCGGTGGAGTCTCGGAACCCCTTGGGGCAGGCGGAGCAGCGGTAGGGCCGCTCGCCGGTGTGCGAGCGCAGGTGGTTGGCCAGGTTGAAGCTGTGCTTGAAGCCTTTGCCGCAGCGCGGACACGCGTGAGGTTTGAGCGCAGTGTGCCGAGCGAAGTGGCGCCGCAGGTCCGAGCGGTAGCGGAAGCTCTTGCCACACTCACTGCAGTGAAACGGGACGCGGGGGGCAACAGCGGGCGGAGCCGGGGCCGGGGCAGGGACCGGGGGCGCTGGCAGCGGGGCGTCATCCATGGTGGCGTGCTGCGAGGGCAGTGGCGGGTGGGGGCTCTCTCTGGAGCGGGGAGACATGGAGTGGGGTGAGGGGCCCACGTCCCCATCAGCCTCCCCCTATCAGGCTCCTTGGACTCACAGACCTGTGAGGCCCGGCCTACTACCTTATAAGCCAGGCCCACCTACCCAAGCCACACCCACTGCTCTTTAAGCCCCTCCCACTCTCCTACAACCCCTTCCACCACTCATCTACCTTCCTAATCACTTCCAAGTCACTTCTAAGCCACTGAATGCTTTTAAGCTCTCCCCTTCTTTGTGAATGAACTCCCGCCCCGCTCTAAGCCCCGCCGAGTGTGGTTAAACCCCGCCCACTCGTGTTCAGGTCCCGCCTACCCCTTCCAAAGTCTCCATGTTGTTCCTGAAGCCTCTTATATTCCTTGACAAGCCCCTTCCCCTCTGAAAGCCACTCTCACTCTTTTTTGAAGATGAAAGTCATCTTCAGATGAAGACTGACGACATTCTTAGCCAATGACAGTATGAAAATTTGGGGCTAAGCGCACCTGAGTCAACCTTCCAGGGAGACCAGGACTAGTCCTGGAACCTTGGATAAAGCCAACTGATTCTCTTTCCATCTGAAAAATAGGAATAATGGGAGGACCTACCTCATGGAGTGGTGGTGAGGACTAAGCAAACTTGTGGCCATGCGTGCGGCGTGCTTACTGACGCTTGTGCACAGCAAAGACTCAACAGGTAAGCTGTTTTGATTACCACTATCTGCTAAGTTCCTCCGAGTTTCCTCTTGAAGTCCCCCATCTCTTCCCCACTAAGATCCGCCTCCTAAACCCCACTCAAGTTTTCCTTTAAACTCAGCCTTTAAGTAAACCCCTTCCTTTCCAAGACCACCTGCCACTCTACCTCTCTGGCCATCTCAGCCCTTCCTCTTTGACACCCTCCCCATCCTAAGTCATTTCACCTGCAATATAAAGACTTGCTATTTCCACTACGACGCCCCAAATTACACGCTTAAACCCCATCCCCCTCACTATGTCCTCACCACTTCCTGAAAGCCACATCCCTAGACAAACTCCACCCCTTCTACTCTAAGCTCCTCCCACCTCCACACTGAACCCCTTTACCCCCCTCAGCCCCAATTAGGACCCTTCAACCTAGGGCCCTCCTACCATTCTCACTGAGCCACGCCCCTTTGTCAAACCTCACCCCTTTGCGTAAGCTCCTCCCACTTTCTACCCAGTCCCGCCCATTTCCACTCTAAACCACGCCCAGCCATTACTCCGCCCAAGCCACCACTAAGCCCCGCCTCCTCCCCACCCAGTCGCCCGCGGGACTGAGCCCCCCTCCCCAGTCAGCTCGAGGACCCAGGCCCCTAGAGTCGGCCTTTGGTACCCCTCCCCCCTGTCCCTAAAAGGTGCGGCCCCGGGCGCCCGGGGCGGGGGCAGGTCAGGCTAGACCCGCAGTCGGGCGAGTCCACCGTGCTCGTACGGAGCGGGGGTTCTGGAGCCCTGAGGCGGCCCCGGGAGGCCGGGAAAGTCAGTCGGCTTTCCTCTTTAATTACTTACACCTCCCTCTGGGCGCCGACATTTTGGGCAGCGGGGGTAGCGTCACTTCCACCCGGGGGGCCCCTCGACTTCCGCCTCGGCTCCCTTCTCCCCCGCACTCCCCCTTTCTCCCGCCTTCTTGGCTTCCCTCCTCCCCGCCGCCCTCCCTTCTCTCTCTTTCCCGTCCCTTTCCCAGCTACTGGAGGTTCGAGAAGCCAGGGTGGCGCCATCTTGGGTGAGGGCAGGGAGAAGGGGCGGGGTTTAGGGTGGCCCCCGGCGCCATACAGACTAAGGGCAACAAGCTCAGCGCGCGCGGCCTCCTCCCTGCGGTATCAACGCTGGCGGGTGTTAACATAGATGAGGGCCGACATGATTCCCTTTTCGCAGCCTCAGGCTCCTCCTGGGTAGGATGTAGAGTTGCATCAGGAGAAGAGAGAAATCGAAGTTCGCCGATCAGCGATAGAGATAGGAGGATAGAGCAGGCTCCATCTTGTGCTTAGGCTTCCCGTGGGCTTTGAAGCTAATCAGGCGCCATGTTAATTACGGGAATGAGGGGCCATTTTCCCGCTCTTTATCCTTTCGGTACCTTTCTTTGATTGGGTCACCCGGCTGGGTGCTTTGTGGGAGGAAAGACATTTCTATGTGTTTGGGATGTGTTGGTGGGGTAATTTCCCGTTCGGGGCCAGCGAGGGCGACGGGTGCGCAGGCGCGGCTTGCCGACGGGGATATGACCGGCTCTTAGGACCCAGCGGGTCCCCTTTGTTCCCCGCGGGCGCGGGCCCGACGGGGAGGGGGAGGGGAGGGAGGGGCCGACCGGCCTCCGCTCCGAGGGGCGGGGCAGTCCCGCGCGCGCGCGCGCCGCCGAGGGGCAGGGCCCCCTCGCCCCCGCCCTTTCCCACGCGCCGGCCCCGCGCCCCCGCGCGCGCACACTCGCGAGTCCAGGCGACATGCAAATGAGGTACCCGAGAGGCGGGGGGCCCGGGTGGGGGGAGAGGAGCGGAGGGAGGGGAGGCCCGGGGCCGCGCGCTCCTGGAGCGCGCCCCCCACCTGCTTCTGCTCTTGCGCTCGCTGAAGCGCGCGCGCCGACCTCGCGCCCCGCGGAGCCGGCCCGCCTGGGCGCGCGCGCGCAGACCCCCTTCCTGGCGGCCCTCGCCGTCCGCGGCCCGGCGCCGTTCATTGGCCGCCGCCCCCGCAGGGCCCGCCCCGCGCGTTCGGTGCTCACGGGCGCGCGCGCCTGCACCGGGGTGGAGGAGGGCGAGGGTCAGGGGCACCGTTCCAGAGACCCGTGTTCTAGTCCAGGCAACCCCAACCGAGCGAGCTGTGTGATCATGGAAAAGTGGCTGCCGTTCTCTGGACCTTAATCTGTGCGCTTGTTCCAGTGGGGTGCAGTGGCACCTGTAGCCCCTAATCCTGACTGCACCTGTGCTCTCCTCCCCCTCCACTTTATTGCTCCCCAGTCCCGTGGCCCCAGGCTTTGCTGCTGCTGGTGGTGTTGGTGATGGTAGTTCACTTGGTGCTTACTATATATATGCCGACCGACAGCCCTGCTGTATCCATTTTACAGAGGTGGAAACTGGCTCAGATAGGTAAAGCCACTTGTTAATGAACGGTAGAGCTGGATACAAGCGCAGGACTAAGGGACCTGTGATGTCCCTTGGGTCCATTACTTCTCACTCCCTGGGCCATTGGGGTCCACGAGATCAAGTCTTGGCCCTGCCACGTACCGCCAGAGGGAGCTTGTGCAACTGATTTCACTTTCCTGTGCCTTGGTTTCCCCATTTGCAAAATGGGCGTGATATACCCTTATTCAGAGAGTTGGTGTGAGGCTTAGCTGCTCACCGTGATAAGAGCTAATATCTCCTAAGCACTTCCGTGTACTGAGCACTTTATGTGCGAGTAGGTGGAAATAGTCATCCTGTTTTGCAAAAGGCTTAGCTGACGCTCAGAGAGGTGAGCACCTTGCCCAAGGCCACCACACAGAGAGTAAGTAACAGACTCAGGAATCGAACCCAGAACCTCTGGCTCCAGACCCCACACTCTTTAACAGCTCTGATATATGTCCACATTCACAACTCAGGGGCAAACATCACCTGGGACCAGTCCCTTTCTTCTTCCAGTCCTGACCCCCCTTCTCTCCCTCTGTCACTTCTGTCAGAAGGAGGGACAAAAACATTTCTGAGGCCTCTGTAGCTCTTCTGTTTGATGGGTTCATTGTTTTGAGGATCGAAATACTCGCCTGCACCCTCAGTTGGACTCTATCCTCCTTGGAAGATTTTTCTGTATTTTGGCTCAGGTTGACCCTGAATGTCTAGGAGGGGTTGTTAGGGAGGTCTGGGAGACTCCTTTGGGGCTCAGGGCAGTGCCTGTTTACCAACTGGTACAGGATTATCTTACTATTTTACCCACTAGTGTGGCTTTAATTGTGCGTCCAAGTGAATGTTGGCCACGCCCAGGTCGACAGACTCGGACCCAGGGATGGCGAGGTTTTGGGGGACAAGGGCGCTCCATACCCTCCTGCACTGACGGCTACTCCTTCTCTCCTCTTAGCCCGGCTCCAGTGCCCAGACCCAAGCCCCCTACTGCTCAATGGACACGCCCAGCCCAGACCCGTGGCCTTCGCCTTTGCCCGGGGAAGAAGAGAAACCTCTGGCCTTACCTCCTTCTGTTCCCCGGGGCCGCCGAGGCCGACGTCCCGGGGGGGCCACCTCCTCGAATCGGACTCTCAAGGCCTCCCTCCCTCGCAAGCGGGGCCGCCCCCCTAAGTCGGGGCAGGAGCCCCCACTGGCACAGGGGGTGACAGCCCCGGTGGGCAGCGGCGGTGGCAGTGACCTCCTGTTGATCGATGATCAGGGTGTGCCCTACACAGTCTCTGAAGGGTCAGTAGCAGGCGGGCCCGAGAGCTCTGGCCCTAAGAAGGCCCCGCACTTCTGCCCGGTGTGCCTTCGGGCCTTCCCCTACCTCTCCGACCTGGAGCGCCACAGTATCTCACACTCAGAGCTGAAGCCGCACGAGTGCAAGGATTGCGGCAAGACCTTCAAGCGGTCCAGCCACCTGCGGCGGCACTGCAACATCCATGCCGGCCTTCGGCCCTTCCGCTGCCCGCTCTGCCCCCGCCGCTTCCGAGAGGCGGGCGAGCTGGCCCACCACCACCGCGTCCACTCCGGGGAGCGCCCCTACCAGTGCCCCGTCTGCCGGCTGCGCTTCACCGAGGCCAACACGCTCCGGCGCCATGCCAGACGCAAGCACCCCGAGGCCATGGAGGCACCCCTGGGTCCTCGGGACCCAGGACCTGAACCACCGTGGGACGACGAGGGTATCCCGGCCACGGCAGGGGCCGATGAGGAGGAGCTGGAGGGGAAAGAGCTGGCTTGACCCCCACCCCCGGCCACTGCTCCCCAGGCCAGGTTTAGAGCTGGGCTTTCAGCTGGCACTGAACCTGGGCAGGGAAACTGGGACACACTCTTGTCTGGTAGTCTTCCTGTTGTGGGAGAAGGTCGAGGGTGAGGACGTCCACTTCTGGGTCCTGCAGCCTTCTGCCACGCTCCCTCGGACTGACAGGCCTGTGGAGGCAGGGGCTGTGGAAATAAATTTCTGCCTACTGGCCTCCTGTGTGTGTTCCGTGATGATCCCAGGGCCGGCGCCTCTCTTCTCCCTTCAAATGTTCTTGCCCGCTGCACCACCCCCTTGTCATGTGCCTCGTTAGCTTGGCGCTAAAGACTGGCTTGGGGGAAGACTTTGACGCTTCTCCCATCTCTGGTGGACCTCAAAGCACTCCCTGTAAAGATCCACTCTTAACATTGAACCTTCTGTGCAAACGTGACTCTAGGTCCCCCGCCAACCCCCGGCGCCGTTCTAACCAGATTCCCGGAAATTCTGCAGCCACCACTTTGGCCCATCTCTGTCCTGGCACTGTTTGCAGAGAAACACTGAGTTGAGGGTTGTGTGCGGGACTGACCACTTTGGTAGGGCCGGAGGGGCGGGGCTAAGGCTGAGGGGCGAGGCTTGTAGGGCGGTTAGGTGAGAACTGTGGGCAGGGCTGGCTGAGAGCTGGCTTGGGGTTTAAGGATGTGTAAGGGTTGGCGGGCAGAAATTGAGAGCATTTAGAGGGAATGGATAGCGTTTATCTGAGGGGAGGGGTTGGTTTCAAGGGGAAACTGCAGGAGAGCAAGGTGTTAGGAGAGGTAGGACTTGAAACTGTTAAGATGCTGAGCGGTGGGTATGACTGCTATGCAGGCCAAGGGGAGAAAAGGGGGTACCTAAGAGGAGTAACGAAGGAAAGCCCCTGAGGGAGGGGGCGCTTAGGAGGAAGAGCTGAATAGAATCGGGCTTAGCTGCTTGAGGTGGGGCCGAGTTAGGGGCGAGGTTTACAGAGAGTTTACGAGAGGGACCGTGTAAGGTGTGGTAAAGCTGTGGTTCGAAACTTCAGCCTGCATCAGAATCACCTGAAGGGTATTTTAAAACCCAGGTCCTTAGGCCCTACCCCCAGGGTCTCTGATTCAGGAAGTCAGAGGCAGTGGGATCTGAGCATTTACATTTCTAACAAATTCCCTGGCAATGCCAATGCTGCTGCTCTCCAAACCATACTTTGAGACCCACTGACCTCAGAGAACGCTTCGGAAGTTCGAGGCAGAATTAATTTAGCATGAAAATCATGAGAGGTGGGACTTAAATGCTATGGACGGAGGGGCGGGGCTTAGATGCAGGGGCGTGGTTCTGCCTAAGGAGCTCTGAGAGGAGGGGCTTATGAGGGAGAGCTGGAGTTCTAGAGATTAGGGGATTGGAGGCGGGGAAGAACAGGGTAAACTTCACGGGGCTGGGTCGAGGAGGACGGATTCTGAGACGACGGGTGGGGATTATGATAATTAAGATCTGAAATAGGCGTGATTCGGGGACCAGGGCGGGGCTTAAGTGTGAAATTTACATGAGGGGCGTGGCTTAACCGGATGTCCGGAGGATGTGGGCGGTGTCCTAAGAAGAGGCGGGCGCACAGGACGGAGGCGCACTATGCTCAGCTCGCCCACAGGAAGCGG